CCGGGAGCGTGTGTGCACAGGAAAACTCCCAGAGGTCTTCAGCCCAAGCGAAAGAGGGTCTCAATATGGGGTCGTTGCCACGTCTCACCTGTGGCTGAACATCCTGCAGCCCCGGACTGGACAGGATCAGGTCTGCGGCCGGCGGCCCCGGAGAGCAGAGTCCAGCGCCCCCGTCCCCCGCCCCAGTCAGGACACAGCAGACACAGGAGGAAGCCGACCCTGAGGCCCGGGGGAGGGGCTTCCTCCTTACCTCCGGCTGGGGGCGGCGGGGCGCTCACCGGGCCTCCCTGCCCGGCGCTGGCTGGCGGGGGGGCGTCGCCGGCCTGTTCCCAGTACGGTCTCTGGGTCCCACGGGCTGAATGGGTCAGGGAGGGAGCGCGGCGAGCGAGCGAGCGCATTAGTCACGCCGCCGCCGCCGCCGCCGCCGCCGCCGCCGCCGCCGCCGCCGCCGCCGCCTGCTCTGCTGCAGCAGACATCTCGGGCAGGTGTGGCAGAGGGACCCCAGCTGTGTCACCTGCCGGCTCAGGGCCTGGGGAGGGCCCCCACCTTGCAGAACCTCTGTGAGATGAGGGAGAACATCTCCCGAGACAGGAGCCCGCCAGCCCTGGCGTCTCTCCCTCTCGCTGCCCCTCCATTTCCCACCTGGACGCTCTCTTTCCCGACCTCAGCTCTAACCCCTGTGTCCGGGCCCTCGGCCGTCCCTGTCTCTCCCTCCCCGCGGTCCGGGCCCGCTGCAGGTAGTCTCAGAGGAGGGTGGTAGCTGGACGCCGGCCATGGCGGGGGAGGCCCGCGGGGGGCCTGGCATCCTCCCAGCTGCCTAGGCTCAGACCCCTTCGGCCAGTTGCTCCCCCAGAGCCTCTGCTCGCCCCTCATCACCGGGGCCTGCGCAGACGTCCCTGGCCCCAGTGCTGCCTTGGGGGGCAGAGCAAGGAAGTAGCACTGCAGCCCCTCCCGAGGGGCCACAGGGAGGGGGTCCTGACCACGTCCCACCTCCCAGATCCCAGAAGTGACACTCTGATGGGAGGCTGTCGGCAGGACAAGGTGGGGGAAGTCCTCGGGCGGGGACCAGGTGAGGCAAGAGGGCCAGCACTCGGCCTCGCTGGACCTCAGGCCCTGGCACTGTCACCCAATTTTACAGGTGGAAAGTTGAGGCTCAGGTGGGCAACGGCCAAATGCTTCCCAACCAGAAAGGGAGGGAGAAGGGCCCATAGCTTTGTCCGTTCCACGGCTCATCCCGAATGTGTGCTCTGTTCCAGGCTCCGGCGACTCAGCTGTGAGGTACAGACACGGGCCCTGGTGCCAGAGTCGCAGCCAGTGAGAGGGAAGCAGCACCGAGGGAGGCCTGGCTTTGGGCCGAAGGAAGGAGTGGCCTGCTGCGGGGAGCCGGGGCAGGCGAGCGGCCACAAGCAGCTGTGGCCAAGGTGGGCGGATCCTGCAGCACCGGGACGCCCGGGCCGGACAACCCGCTGGCAGGCTCCCGGCGGGCAGGGGGAGATGGGATGAGGCCACGCGACCCAGGACGGTCCCCTTGGGCGCAGGACGGGCAGTGGGTACATGTGGAGGGTGGGCACTTGGACCCCAGGCCAAAGCCAGGCAGGAAGGGTCAGGTTAGAGTGAGGGGCGGACAGCCGCCCTGGCTCAGCTTCTCCTCTGCGAGCAGCTGCCACAGCGGCTCCTGGGCAGGTGGCCGGGAGAGCGCGAGTGCGGGAGATGCGGGAGCTCCGCCCCAAGGTGCTCCTGCGAGCGCTGGGTGCTCACGTGAGGCTGGGAGTCGCAGTACTGTGGCCGGGGCCCTGCTCGAGGGCAGGCCAGCTCTGGCCCCCAGGAGGGCCGGGGAGGGAGCTCGGGTTGCATGGCCTGTCCTGCCCTGCTGAGGGGTACCTCCAGCACCTCTGGGGGCCCAGGGACCGGCACCGAGGGGTCTGCAGAGGCCGGTGTGTGAGCCGCATCGGGGAGGACTTCGTCACAGGGCAGCCCTGGGAGGGCAGCAGCTGTTAGGAGGGCGGGGGCTGTCCGGGGCAAGAGGAGACACTCAGGGCTCTGTTTGGGGTGGGTTTCCTGAGGCTGTGGACTTGCGGGGAGACCCCCCTCGAAATAAGCATCTTAGCATCATAAGCGCATCACCTGGGGTCTGGGAGCCCGGGGCCCTAGGGGCAGAGGGGCGGAGCCCCAGAGGGGCTGGAATGGGGGCTGCGTGGCTCCCAGCGCTGGGCAGACCCTCCTGTGGTCACCCTGCCTGCCCACCCTCCCCTGCAAAGCCCCCATCTTCTAAGGCAGGCGAGGCCTTGGGAGCTGGCAGGCCTGAGGAGCAACGGACCAGCCTGGCTCTGAGAGCTGGGGAAGCCCAGGCCCCCCACCTCCAGGCCCAGGCCTGGCTCCCCGCTCCACCTGCCACACTCGGCCTGCGGCCCTGAGTCGTCCTGCTCTGGGTGAGGCTGCCCGCGGGAGGGCGGCACGGAGGGGCAGGGCGGGGGCAGCCCCCACCTCAGGCACGGGAGCTGGCCAGGCCCCTTCGCGGAGGCAGAAGAGTGGAGCCTGAGGCTGCAGTGTGGGGTGTGCTGAGGGCTTCTGGTTTGCGGAGGCGGAAGAGTGGAGCCTGAGGCTGCAGTGTGGGGTGTGCTGAGGGCTTCTGGTGCGAAAGCTGACAGCAATTAGGTGTTCTCGGAGCAGCGGCTGTGGCCTGTCACCTGTCACGGCGGCCTTGCGAATGCAGCCTCTGGGCCGTGCCACCCCACACACACACATCAGGCTGGGCTGGCCACGCAGACGGGCCACCAAGGGTCTGGGTCAAGACCAGCCCTGCCTGCTGGGCTGCCCTAAGAGCCCCTCTCCTGCCTGCCTCCCCCCACAAAGGGGATGCCTCCCCTTCTAGTCTCCTGCCTGGGCCGCCCAGCTGGTCAGGGCTCCTGGGTCTGGGTGCCGGCCCCCAGGGGTCACATGGCCTTTGTCAACCGTGGGAGGAAGTGGAGGGGTGGCTCCTGGTCACTCGAGTGATGGCTCTGGCACTCCCACCGCACACGTGTGCACGCGCGCGTGCACACACAATGCAGGTGTGCGAGCGCGGTCCCTGCCCAGCTGGCTCATCGCGTGCCTTTCCAGAGCAGGGCCCTCGGATGCAGGCCTGGGCTCACCCAGACACGGTCGCGGGCTTGCGGCTCCACTCAGGCCCCGCAGTGACCAGCCCGCTCGCCGCGGCACAGGCATCTTACACACAGGCTCGCACACTCGGGCCTGCAGCCATCTCCTGCTCCGGGGTTCCTGTTCTCACAGCTTCTGGCCCGACTCCCCCTCCCTGCTGCGTGCTGCCCCTCCACCCTCCCCTCTCTGCTCACCCACTTGCCTTTAATTAGAAATGCCAGGAGAGCGATTTTGGGGGAGTTTCTGCCAGCGACATTCCCCCCGCCAAGGGTGGAAGCTCAGAGAGGGAAAGGAGGTGGCAGATTGCCTCTGGGGGGCGGCAGGGGGTGGCAGGGAAGGGGCCTCCAAGGGGGGCAGGGAGTGGGGACTCCAGAGCGGGGGTACCCGCGTGCCCTTGAGTGTGCTAACGAGACCCGGGGGCCGGCGGGCCTGGTGTGAGGGGCTGGGCGTGGACGGGGATGACTGGACGGGGGGAGGATGGGTGGGTGGGGAGCTATGAGTATCTCTGGGGGGGAGGGGGGATGAGTGTGCAGTGTGCGTGTGAGAGCGGAAGACCGGCAGCAGGGCTAGGGGGTCTTGACTGGCCTTGGTTGTGTGTGGCACATGGTATGTGCTACCTGTGCGCATGGAGCAGCAGAGGACCTGGACCCACACCCATCGTGCCGGGGACCCAGGGGGAGGGCCCCTCCCCACCACTGTTGCCAGGGAGGCAGAAGGGAGCCTCCCTCCTGCGGGAGTCTCAGCTTCCGGAGCCCCATTCCTTTTATGGTGTTTTGCTTCTCTACCTCTTCTGACTGCATCAGGCCACCAGCACCCTCTCCCCCCTGCAGAGGTCTTGGAGCTTCTGACCGGTTGGGCTGTGGCCTGGGGTTCAGGGCCTACACCCTGCGGTGGGTGGAGGGCCCCTCCGTCTCCTCCACACGCCCCCGCCCCCACGCCCCGAGAGCAGCTGCCAGGTTTCCTGGGAGGCAGTAAGTGGAGAAGTCTTGGGCCTCAGCAAAGACCTGGGAGAGGGGGGCACGGGGCAGTCCTGTCCAGCTACGCCACCTAGGCGACACACACCCATACCAAGTCCAGGGGCCCTGGGAGAGCCAAGGCCTGGGTGCCTGTCCCTCACCCGGGGCGCAGGACCAGCCCAGGGCCTGGACGCGAGGGCGCCCGGGGCGGGGATAGACGGAAGCTCAAGGCCACGTCCCGGAGCTCACACCTGACACCCGGGAGCGTGTGTGCACAGGAAAACTCCCAGAGGTCTTCAGCCCAAGCGAAAGAGGGTCTCAATATGGGGTCGTTGCCACGTCTCACCTGTGGCTGAACATCCTGCAGCCCCGGACTGGACAGGATCAGGTCTGCGGCCGGCGGCCCCGGAGAGCAGAGTCCAGCGCCCCCGTCCCCCGCCCCAGTCAGGACACAGCAGACACAGGAGGAAGCCGACCCTGAGGCCCGGGGGAGGGGCTTCCTCCTTACCTCCGGCTGGGGGCGGCGGGGCGCTCACCGGGCCTCCCTGCCCGGCGCTGGCTGGCGGGGGGGCGTCGCCGGCCTGTTCCCAGTACGGTCTCTGGGTCCCACGGGCTGAATGGGTCAGGGAGGGAGCGCGGCGAGCGAGCGAGCGCATTAGTCACGCCGCCGCCGCCGCCGCCGCCGCCGCCGCCGCCGCCGCCGCCGCCGCCGCGTGTGCAGGGGGTGGGTCCTCCCTCCGCCGGGAGCGCGCGTGGGCGCGGGGAGGCGGGCCGGCAGGCTGGGGGCGCGGGCGGGGAGCCTGCGCCCGGGCCAATGGGAGCCGTGGCTCGGTGACGGGGCCGCCCACGGCCCGCGCTGGCGGCATAAAGAGCCGGCGGCCGAGGCTGAGCGCAGAGCTCGGGTGCCGGGTCCTCCGGGTCCGCGGCCGCCGAGAGCAGCCGGGGCCAGCCGCCGCGCCGCGGGACCCTCCGCCACGCGCAGCTCCGCGTAGCCGGCGCCCAGCAGCTCCCCGTCGGCCCCAAGAGGACTTTGCAGCCTCTACCCCACCCCGCCTGTCCGAGCACCGCCGCCACCTGCGAACAGATGGAGCTGGACCAAAGGACGACCGGCGGCCTCCACGCCTACCCCGCGCCCCGCGGCGGGCCTGTGGCCAAGCCCAACGTGATCCTGCAGATCGGGAAGTGCCGGGCGGAGATGCTGGAGCACGTGCGGAGGACCCACCGGCACCTGCTGACCGAGGTGTCCAAGCAGGTGGAGCGGGAGCTGAAGGGGCTGCACCGCTCGGTGGGCAAGTTGGAGAGCAACCTGGACGGGTACGTGCCCACGGGCGACTCACAGCGCTGGAGGAAGTCCATCAAGGCCTGCCTGTGCCGCTGCCAGGAGACCATCGCCAACCTGGAGCGCTGGGTCAAGCGGGAGATGCACGTGTGGCGGGAGGTCTTCTACCGGCTGGAGAGGTGGGCCGACCGCCTGGAGTCCATGGGCGGCAAGTACCCGGTTGGCGGCAACCCCTCCCGCCACACCACCTCCGTAGGTGTCGGGGGCCCCGAGAGCTACGGCCACGAGGCTGACACCTACGACTACACGGTCAGCCCCTATGCCATCACCCCACCACCGGCCGCAGGTGAGCTGCCCGGACAAGAGGCGGTGGAGGCCCAGCAGTACCCACCCTGGGGGCTGGGAGAGGACGGGCAGCCAAGCCCTGGCGTGGACACGCAGATCTTCGAGGACCCGCGGGAGTTCCTCAGCCACCTGGAGGAGTACCTGCGCCAGGTGGGCGGCTCCGAGGAGTACTGGCTGTCACAGATCCAGAACCACATGAATGGGCCGGCCAAGAAGTGGTGGGAGTTCAAGCAGGGCTCAGTGAAGAACTGGGTGGAATTCAAGAAGGAGTTCCTGCAGTACAGCGAGGGCGCGCTGTCGCGAGAGGCTGTGCAGCGCGAGCTGGACCTGCCGCAGAAGCAGGGAGAGCCGCTGGACCAGTTCCTGTGGCGCAAGCGGGACCTGTACCAGACGCTGTACGTGGATGCCGAGGAAGAGGAGATCATCCAGTACGTGGTGGGCACCCTGCAGCCCAAGCTCAAGCGCTTCCTGCGGCCCCCGCTGCCCAAGACCCTGGAGCAGCTCATCCAGAAGGGCATGGAGGTGCAGGACGGCCTGGAGCAGGCGGTCGAGCCCGCCAGCCCCCGCCTGCCCACCGAGGAGGAGAGCGAGGCCCTCACGCCAGCCCTCACCAGCGAGTCTGTAGCCAGTGACCGGACCCAGCCCGAATAGAGGGCGCCGGCCCCCCGCCTGCCCGCCGTGGCCTTTGCCCACCGGGACTTCTGAGTGGGCTGATCCCTGCAGGGGGAGCCCTTGTCCTCATGCAGCTGGACACCCCACCTCAGCCTCCTAGCCTGACCCTAACAGACACGTGTGATTCAGATGTGGGCAGCGTCCCCCAAACAGCAGAGGGGCTTCCCTTCCCTGCGGGGCCCTGCCCCTCGCCCTCCCTCGGTCTGTCTTCCCCAGCATGGGCCGGCCTGGGCCAGCGGCCCCACCCTCCATACTCTCAGGCCAGGACAGCTTCCTCGTCCTGTTCAACGTCCCGGCCCTCTGGGCACTCAGAAACCCAGCATCCAGATGGCACGGGCCTGCAGGCACCAAGCTCAAGGGACACCCCGGGACAGAAGCTCTGGGCTTCTGGGAAGCCACCTCTCCTGGCAGTCGCCTCGTAGCCGACTGGCACCCCTGCCATGGCCCAGGGCAGCTGGCCAGCCTCGGGCAGTGTGGCTCCCTCCCCCGGAAGAGAGCCGAAGCCAATAAAGGCAGCAGCAGCAGTGGCAGCAGCAGACCTGGCGTCCTGGTGCCTCCTGGCCCCTCAGGTGAGCCCCTGCCCCATGGTACCACCACCAGGGGGCACCGTAGAGCCGGGAGGGTCCCGGGCCAAGCCCACTTTCCAGGCGAGCCCACGAGGCTCAGGGTCATCCGCAAGTTACCGGATGGGGTGGGGGTGACATGGTGGGGAGGCGGAGAAGGAGCAGAGACCCGGGGGAGCCGGGAGAGGGAGCTGGGGTGGGAGCAGGGCTGGGGGAGTTTGCCGAGCCAGCTCTCACACCGACCGTGTTTTCTCTCCCGCCTCAGCACCACTGATTCATGCCAGCCTGGGGAGGGACCGAGCCCCGCTCGATGACTCACCCGTGGCAGGCGGAAGGTCCCACAGGGCCTGAGTCCTCAAAACCGGCTGAGGCAGCAGCCGGCCCTCGGAGCCAGGAGAGTGACAACAGGTAATGCAGGAGACCCCGTCCCTCGGCTGTCCTCACACGGGGCCCTCAAGCTCCTCTCCAGCCCCCAGGTCCCAGGCCGCCCTCCCACCCTCGCAATCCTCTGGGTGAGCTGAGAAGCAGCCCTGGGAGAGCAGCACTGTGACGTCTGCCGCATGCCCCTCCTGTGCAGCCCCTCCCGGCCTTGGCCTGTTCCTGAGTCCCTGACCATCCGTCTTCCTTCCTTTCAGGTCTCGAGGCTCCTGCGGAGCCTTTGCTGCTGTGCCTGGCAGTGCCTCCTCTCCTCTCCCCCTGCAAGCTGCCTGCACGAGAGGAGAAGTCTGAGGCCGGCGAGAGGCTGGTGGTGAAGACGCGCCAGCGTGAGGGCTGGGGCCTGCCGCTATGCCCGCCCCGCTGGCCGCCCGCCCGCCCACCCGCCCCCAGGGCCGCCACCCCGGGTCCGGCCTCGCTCCAGCCCAGGAACCGCTGCCCACTGCGCGGCCATCCTCTCCTGCCAGAGCTTGCCACGAGGCCTGGGGCTGAGACCAGAGCCGCTGCCTCTGCCTGGCGGCCCCAAGCCCAGCCCCAGGAGACCCGGCGGCCTTTGCTCCTGAGGCTCATGTGGGCTCTCTACCAGGCCCTGCCGTTGCCCAGGCCTGGACCCCCGCCTCCCCCAGGGCACCAACACCCTGGTGCTGGCCGGCCGCTCGTGTCTGCGGCCCGAGCAGGCCTGGTTGGGGGTTCCCCTTTCTGCCTGTCCACTGGGGGGTCCCAACTTCGGGGGAATGACACTTACAGGTAACTCTGCCAGCTCCCCCAGATTTTATTTTTGCACATAAGCCATAACCCATACTCCGAGGCTGGTGCAGGCAGCAGGGAGGCCCCAGGGTCAAGAGGGTGTGGCCAACTCCCCGTCCCCCCAACGGATCAAGCCCTGAATGTCAGGCCAGGCTGTGTGCACCCTTGCCACCTTACACGAAGACAGACTCTTTTTGTAAGATTTTGTTAATAAAACACTGAAACTTCCTGGCGTCTGTGTGCTGCTGTTTCTCTGCCGGCTGGGGCTGGCTGGAGGGGGGCTGCAGAGGGAAGCAGCTCAGGGCGGCCAGCTCCTAGAACCCAGTGAGTACAGACTGAAGGGTCTCTGGGGACCTGAGACAGCCAGCGGTGGGAGTGACTGGGAAGGGCCACTGTTCATGCTGCGCTGAGGACAGGCCCCCCGAACCCTCTGTACACTCTCCCACCCACTGCCCGCCGGGGTGGGCGTGGCGGGGGTGCTGGGCACTCGTCTGCTGCCAGGACTCAGCCCGCACAGAGGCCTGTGGGCCCAGGGGGCCTTCTTAGGCCCTGGATCCCTGGTGGGTGGGGAAAGATCCCTGCTGGGAGGGGACCCTGGCAAGTCCTGGCTGCAGGGTCATAAGCTTGGTCTCTCTGAGCCTCACATTCCCCGTCTGCAAAACGGGTGAGCCATCAGTAATATAATCCATGCTGGGGCCCAAGACCTTAGAAATGAGAGCCGTCCTCGCTGCGGGGGTGGTCTCGACCTCACCTGCCTTCATGGGGGATGCCAGGTCCCTGAGAGAGATGGAGACATGGCCTGGAGCGGGCTCGGACCCAATACCAGCCACTTGAATGAGAAGCAGGCCTGGGGAGGTAGACACTGAGAGCTTTGCTCCGAGCAGTTGGCTCACTTGACCGTGGGGTGGCGGGGCCAGTCCAGAGTCCGCAGGGCAGGTGGGACTCTCAGGCACGGGCTGGGCTGCCGTCCACAGGTGGGATGTCTCCCTTGGTGAAGGCTCAGCTCTGCTTTTCAGGCCCTTCAACTGATTGACCCAGGCCCACCCAGGTTCTCACCGACCATCTAGCGTCAATCACACCCACAAAAGACCTTCAGAGCCACGCGTAGGTTAGGATCTGATGGAATGCCTGGGGGCGGTGCCTAGCCAGGCTGACGGGTAAAAGTCCCCTCTCAGCCACCGTGGTCATCCACAGGTACTTGTCCTCTGCCCTCAGAAGGGGCTGCTTTGCTAGGTGGGGTGCCCGGCCAGGCGGTGCCAGCTCAGCCCCCCGCCCTCCGCACGGGTGGGGCTGCCCCTGCTGAGAGGACGCAGCTGGGACGCACAGGGGACCTGGGGAGGCAGGAAATCATCAGGAGCCGAGAACCACCCGCTGGCAGGAAAGTCGTCACCCTCCACGCAGAGGGCGGCCCGAGTGTGATGCTCCCCGGTGGAAGGCCGCCTCTTCCCTGTTCTCCTTTATTCCTTTTAAATAATGAAAGTGCTGACAAGACGGGGAAGGAAACTGACAGGAACAGGAGGCTGGGCACCATGGTGATTCCTGAGAGGCAGTAATTTCTCCGGGAGAACTACTACTGCTCACATCGAAAGCTGGGAGCTGTAGATGCCTTTTCCTTTTAATAAAAAGTTCCTGTCTGTAATTGGATGATCATGGAACAGGCAATCTGAGAAGCAGCTCTGTGTCTCTGTGTCCCAAGAAAAGAGGTGGGAGGGCGGGGTGGGGTGTGGTGGCGGCGGTCGGGGGCCAGACCCCCAGCAGACATCATGAAGCCCACAGCCCAAGCCCCGGGACATGCCCGTCCTGCCCATCCACATATCACAGACCTGGTCTCCTCTCCGTGGAGGGCCGGGAAGCTGAGGCCTGGGAGGCAGAGCTGGGACTGGGGCTGGGGGTGCCAGGAAGCCCTGAGAGGCTAACCCTGCACACCCAGGGGGCTTCTGAGCCAGGTGGGCTTGGGCTTAAGTCCCAGGGCCACTCTTTCTATAAAATCAAGTCTGCCTACATAGCTGATGTGAGGGTTCAAGGGCACGGTGCCGACCAGAGCAGGCACTCAGGATGTCACGTGCGGCTGCCCCCGAGGCTCAGCCCAGGCCGTCAGCAGGGCCCCGTGCCCCCGGTGGGCTTTTACGGCCCGTCAGTTTGGGTCTTATTGTGTGTGACTTGGTTGGCCACCAAGGGGCGTCACAGACTCTCTGTGCCTGCGGGTGGGGGGCGCATAGCCAGTAGCTGGCCCACCTGAGGGTTCCAGAGGCCCACCTCACTGGGTCCAAGGTGTGATGTGTGCTCCAGCCTCCCCTGGGCCTCCCACCGGCCCTCTCCCTTCTCTCTGCCTCAGTGAGCCCACACCCGGCCGTCTGGGCCTGAGACAGGAGGCAGGAGGCTGGGGACACCTAAAGCCACTCCCCACGGTGAGACCTCAGGGGCCCCCAGGTGTGCCGGCCCAGGGGACCGGGGCAGGTCTGGCTTGGGCAGTGGAGCTCAGGGGCCTAGGGCACAGCTGTCTCTCTGGATGGGCCCTGCCTCCTCCTGGGATGTCTGTGGTTTCCCCACCCCCAGGAAGCTGCCCTCCTCCAGGCCAAGGGTTTCCCCTACTGCCAACGCCGGGGTGCAGCATCAACTCTGCCAGCAGAGAGGTGGCACAGAGGAGCTGCTGGGGCTCCCCGATGACGGGCTCCGCCCATGACGGGGTCGCCCACGACGGGCCCCTTTCCACAGCCCCACCTTCCCAATGCCGAAACTGAGGCTTGGGGAGATGCAGGGACCTGCCCAGGATCCTCTGCCCTCCACGCCTCCTGGAACATGCTCAGAATACTGACTTCCTTGAAGGCCTATTCCGGAACCCACATGTGCCTGACTCTGAGATCCAAGCTGGTTCTACCACCGGGGCTGCTGCTTTAAAGCCTGCTTCTCTTCCTGCTGGGGACAAAGAAAGAGGCAGGCACTGAGTCTGCAGTGGCTCTGCTGAGGGTCAGAGGACAGTCTACTGGAGGACAATGTGCTTCCCGGTCCCCAACGACCCCTGGCTCTGGTCACCCACGGACCCCTCCCCTGGGCCACTCACGACCCCTGCTTCTGACCAGTCGCTGACCCCGGCCCGGCCTGCCCACCGGCCCAAATTACAAGGCTCCCCTCGTGCCTCTTCCTCACTTCCGGTCCCCACCCACCCGCCCAGGGGCCCCCGCAGACCCGCCAGCACCGCTCAGGGGCTCTCCCACGCTGCCTGCCGAGCTCCCAGCTGGCGCCCCACTTCTGCAGCAGCCGGGGCGGGTGGCATACATTAGCCTGTTTCCTCCAGGAAGGAGGCCAGGCAGCCCCAGCGCCCAGCCCTCGGGTCTGGGGGGACCCAGATGTGAGGGCAGCAGCTGGAGGGGGCTCCTCTGGCCCTCAGCTACCATTCCTCTCTGTGATGGAGCCTCAGAGCTGGAATGGCCTCTCCTATGGATGGGGAAACCGAGGCCCAAGAGAAGCAGGAGTCCCCAGGTGCACCAAACGGCTTCCTCTGCACCTCTGCTGGCCTCGGGCTGGCCCGTGGGCCAGGGGCAAGGCCAAGGGAGCCAGCGTTCCTTCCTCGGGCGCCATCCTCTGGGTCCCACCTGCCTTCTGTCAGTCACCCTGAACCGGCGTCACTCTTCTGCCCATCCAAACTAGCTGTGCTCTCAGCTACTCCGAACACCTAGGAGGACCCCGCAGCCCCAGTGCTGACGCTGGGCCCAGCTCAGGGAACCTCGGGAGAGCAGCCTGGCCTGGGGGCAGGAGCTGAAGCCAGACCCCAGGGCTGCGGAGTAGCTGGCGGCGTGGCCTTTGTGGAAGTGCAAAGCCGTGGGCCCGGCCGGGGTGCTCTCTCCAAGCCCCCCGCCCTGGCTGGCCAGTCCTGCTCTTCTCTCTGCACCCACCTGTCCACCTGAAGCTGCGGCTCTGCCCCCAGCCTGGGTCTCCCTGTCTCATGATGGCCCCGTTGCGGCTGGGACCCTAGGAAGGTCCTGGCCTCCCCGCAGCCCACGGCCCCAGGCTCCCCCCGCACCCCCGCTCAGCCCCGTTCCCAGGCAAGCTGGCCGAGGCTCCGTGTCTCCTCTGTACCTGCCACAGAGAACTAGTGATCCACCAGCTTCGGGCATCATGGAACCTGTCCCAGAGCGGCACACCTCCTGCCTCTCCCCAGGAGGCCAGATCGCCATCTCTGCGAACTTCACATTCCGTGTTCAGTTATCCCAACCTGGCATCTTCCAGGCCAGAGAATTAGTTTTCCTTTCTTATACAACGTTTTGTTTCTTCCTGGGATTTCGAATAGCTTCTCTCATTCTATCTACCATCACCACACACTCGCTTCCCCCTCAGAGATGCCACCGTATGACACTTCTCACTGGGGTCTACTTGTGCATTTAGTTTGCATTGCTCTGTTTCCCGGAACCCCCTTCCTGGGATAAAAAGATCTTTAGAGAATAAAATCGCTACCAGGAAGGTCCTGAGCCCAGCTCTCCAAATGTCTCCCAGGGCTTCTGGATGAAGCCCCAGTTCCAAGCCAGCCCCCAGGCCCCACAGTGGAAGGTGACACCTACTCCCCGGCCCCCCTTTTGCAGCGGTCCCCAGCCCCCTTTGTCCCCTCCTTCTACACCCACCCCTCTGCCTCTGCCTCCT